GGCTCCTATTTGTTTTGAAGATGGCACACTTTCCTTTGATTTCTGCTCCTTTTTCGATTCTAAACCTTTTGAGGCCTCTCCTTTCTGCTGCTCCATAATTCGATCAGATTTCTGGCTTCTGGGCTGTTGATGCTTTCGCAAAAGATGTTCAGGAGGAAAATTTCCAGGTGGGTAACCCTCAGGTGGATAGCCCTCAGGAGGATAACCTGGAGATGGGTAGCCTTCAGGTGGATAGTAATGTGGAGGATAACCATAAGGTGGGTAGCCTTCGGGTCCATACACTTGTGGTGGGTATCCCTGATAGGCATATGCGTCAGGGTGATACGGCGGTGGAGGCCCGTACTGGTAGAAGTAATCGTCTTGTTGATAAGGGGAATCATATTGGGCAACATGCCCGGGCTGCTGGCCTGAAATATTGAGCACTTTGAGTGTTTCATGGGGAAAGATCGCGAAACTAGAAAGACGACGTTTCGTCGATCACTTCTGGGGTAAGAAGATGGGTAGTGATTTTTGGCGCTATTATGCTCAGTGATTGGATTTCCCTTCAGAATCACACGGTTTTCAGCTAAGCAGATGGGCGGAGACTGACAAGTGGGATGCAGAGCAGACAGTCATGATAAGCCGCGCCACACCACATGCTGCATTGTGCATTTGTGCCATGCACCGCGATTCTTTATGTGCATCAGTTTGTCAATTATAGCAGCGAAACTCGCATGAATCCGAGCCAAAACAAAACCCCATGGCGTGCGATATCAAATTTTCCTCTCTTCTTGGCACTCATATTGAACCAACTAGGCAGGACAACTCGTCTGTCTGGCGCGACGCGCTGACCACGCCCATCACAGTATTACGATTGCCTTACTGTCCCCTCATGACTGTTGTGCCTTCCTCGTCTGTGTTGTCTTGGTCATAATACAGAGAAGGGAGGGGCAACGAGAAAGAGTTAGTCGTTGCGAGTTCCAGTTCAATTTTCCCCCCACCCGATTACCGTGAAATAAGTTTTGAACTCGACACTTGATTCATACACTCGAAATCCGGGAGTTGTTGGGGCGTGGCTGCGTACTTTTCTCGATCATGGAGTAGGATGCGTTTTTCGCACGGATATTCCCATATGAAACATGTGTCAACCCATATTGAGCTGACCAATATCATGAGTACAACTGGCTCACAAAAGAAGGATTCCAGCACTAGGTCAGCCCCCGCCACTTTCAAAGTGAGCGCCACGCCCTCTCCCTCTCAGTGATATGAAGTGTGTTACTGGAAAGCTGCATGTGCACGGCTCACGCTTGCCCAAGGAACCCCTGGAAGCTGCTGTAAAAAGATCCGTAGCTTGAAACATCATTTTACTCCTGCATGAAGTCTACTGCTGAGGCTGTTGGTGGGTGGTGAATTCATAGAGCTTCTACAAGCTTAATTCTGACCAGCTCATTGGTAGAAAAAGACCCGATAACAACTAGAAAAGATAGCACTTACCGCCAAAACCGCCTTTGCCATTGCAGATCATATACCACAAAACACCACAGCAGCATACAGCTAGAGCTATGGCAGCGATTATGCTACAACGGGATGGCCCATATGATCCAGTTGGGTTGAATGTACCATCGAGTGACTCACCCAATCCACATACCAACATTGCTCAGGCCTTCATCATCGTCCGCAGGACAGCAGTCAGTACCACAACATAATTCAACATCTTTACGACATGCCCACGTAATAACTTGTGGTTGCGTACCGTTCCTGTATTGTATCTGCAAAAACGATAATTAGGTAATTGGTATGTGTTGGGTATTGTATATTAGTATGGTATTTCCGGGTATGTGACAAGAAGATCCTGATTTGCCGCGCCAGTGGACGTCGCGTGCGACGTCGCGCCCGCTAATGACAGCGATTTTCAGAGCTCATCATCGAGAACAGACAATGTGTGACCAAAAATAGACATAGGCGTCTGCAGTGTTCTTGTATACGTGTAATCCGATGCTCCAATCGGAAGGGTAATGCAAATTAGGGAAACGTCGCGCCCAGTGCCGCGCGTGGGCGGCAGGCAAAAAAGTTTTTTTTAAAAACGCGGTTCTCTTTACACGGCGTATTTCCCCCGTGTTTTCGTTGTTAATTTCGCTTTGAAACCAATTCCTTATGTTATTCCTTATTTTTTTCCTTTTGTGAGAGTTCTCCAGCTGCTTTAGGAAAGGACACAGTACTGGGAGGTGACTTGTGTTACTACACCCTCCAAAATTTCCTCGTTAAATTCGTCCGCCAAATTTCTAGAATTCTCCAGTATTTTCGAGTGATGCAAAGCAGCGCGTGTCCGTGACTCTCGCAGCGAATTTCTTCGCAACCGGTCGCCGTTACGTCCATTGCGCACTACCGCACGCGCAGCTGTCTACAACTGCCATGTTTAAAGGACCGTTTTCGCAGGCCGCACTGGGGTCTCGCCGCGCAGCTGTCTCTTCGCTGACCATTCAACGCACTCCCATTTTTTGGGCCCACAAGCAGTTTGTTCGGGCTGGAGTTGCGAGTGGAGTTTGCTGTCGTCCGTTTCTACGTCTCATTCGTCCGTCTGCTCATTATCGTCGTCTCTCCTCCCCCCTTTCCCCTCACCCACGAGCCTCGGGCTCGTCCTTGCCTGACTTGGCCCGTCTCCCACGATTGCGCAGTTGCCACCCTGGGGCAACTATGTCTAGCGCATCCCCCGCCGTCCTTCGTCTGAGGAATATCGCAAGTGGATTGGAGAAGATCAGGACCGCAGGTAGCTGGAGAGCCTCCATGGCCCAGTCTTAACGCAGGGAGCCGGCACGTAGGTCTTTTAGCCTTGTTAGGTGTTTCTTGATGTTTGATTAATGATAAATAACCTTCTGCATTTTCTTTTCCCTTTTTCTTCAAGTGTTCAAACACGGTTTTTATTTACGATTGATGCATTGCTTATTCATTGGTATTCGATGTGTAGTTTCTCGCATATGGCTGACAGTCCTTTACCAACTAATCGATTGCCCCGTTAGAATGTCCGTAACAGATTCATATGAGAGTAGACGTGTTATCATGCTTCAAAATATGGGACTAGCGGGACCGCAGAAGCCCAAATCTTGGGGAACCACAAACGGGCGCAAAAGGCATTCAGGTTAAGTGCGGATGAGGACGGCGGCAAGCCGTGGCCGCGGTGGCACAAAGTTATAACAGCGATCCCCCTTTCTTCTCCAAAGACACGTGCGCGGCACTCCTCTACAGGAAACCACCGCAACAAAGGATCCGCGCGCGAACATGGCTGCATTCGGAGAGCTGGGGTTTGGCGCGTGTGGCACACACGCTCCAGCCTAATGGCGATCGAACCTAAGACGCCGCGGCTGTTACTTTCAAAGTTTTCGCAGAAAAGTCCTTCGCAGGGGAATGTCGAAGATCGGCGCGACGAACACAGTTTGGATAGTTCCGGGTACCCGCAGATGGCTACGAAGGAAGTTCGACTGGGGAACTACCCTTACCACCCTAGTGGCCGTTGTGGGCGTTATGGAGCTGGAGTGCACTGGTAATGCCATCACGAACACGCGGTCACAGTCCGGACCTAGGGAGCGGGAGGGATACCCCTCTGGAGCTTGTGAAGTTTGCAAACGGCTACTCTTCGGGTAACGCCAGGTCAAAACTGCATGGAGGGGTACCCAGGTGATAGGGAGGACTCCCCTCATGTATCTGGTTAGTGACGGTCCGCATAAGCAACAGAATTGTTGTCCGAAGCGCGTACCGTTTTGTCCTTCACAGGTAACCGACCAGAGCTCGCATCTTACGTCCGCAAAGCGTGTGCGGGGCTCGCGCATCGGTCCTCATCCTTGTGTGCGTTAGCCGTCTCGGGCAGACCCTTGTTACAGACAAATGCGACATCGACTTTATTACACGCACTCATCGTTCTCCGATCAATTGCCATGTTAAGTCATATCGTCGGTCCATTGTTCGCAAATCCCCTCGTCCCTAGGCCAACTTCGTCGCTAGCTAACTATATGCTGCCGTGAGTGACTCGTGGCCGGAGCCCCTCGCGGCACAACATCCACTCACATTTCCCCGTTTTAGATTTGGGTAGGCAGTTACCACCTCCTGCCAACTTTGCAAACTATGTCAACAATCAGTGCTTGCAAGGGCCAATCTGACCAAAGCGCACTCAGCTCTCGAGGCAATCAAAGGTAAGATACCACAATGTTCGCATGACGAAGCCGCAAGATGTCGCAATTGACGAACCGGCACCGATTTTGGTTGCGCGTCGTTAGCCCACTGTACCCTCTGAAATCAAGAGCCGGAAACAGAGCAGACCCCACCGGCAGTGGATCGCGCGAAAAAAACTCAAACGCAAGTCTCGAAAAACGATCTAAATAAGAGGGCAACCATGCAAAGACCCAATGTCCACTCGGGAAAGGCAACCAGCAGGGACACGCCAAAAGCCATCACAAATTCATAACCAACAAGTAACAATCGGAAGCCTCCCCCATTAACGGTCCAAAACACGCAGAGGAGGTGCAAAGTGCAAAAAAGCAAGAAATTAACCATATGTTTGCACTATCCGAATCGATACCGAATTTACCCCCTCTACTCGCAAACAGCGCACCTCTACGGTACAGTATAGTGCGGACGTACGGCGGGCAGCTCAATATCCGCTTCGCTTACGTCGTCCATGTTGAATCAAAAAAAAAACTCTTCATGCCCATAGCGTATCGCATCATTTAAACCTAAGTCCGCAAGACTAACCCTAGTTAGTCATTAAAAATTAAGGAAATGACAAACAACATCAACTCCTTTAATACACGTTGCGCTCGTCAAAATACAATGCTACTCAATTCGGGCAACTTCCATCCCAAAAAAACTCAACCCGTCCTTCTATGACACAAAACCAGCCCGCAATCGATCTCATAGGCGTACAAGCAACGCGCGTCACGGTTGCGGTGCGCCAGCGCGAAAACAAGCTATTTAAACGCAGATGACTAGTCCGCCGAGCTCTAAGCGCACAACGATTTGCGCGTCACGGACAGGCGGCGGCGTGCGCTGCCAAGAAGCAAGCGATTGCAAAACGCAGATGATGTAGTCGTCATCTTAATCACACAAGCTACGATTTGCCGTCGCGACGCGGCGCTTACGCGCGAAAAGTCAAATTCGAACGGCGAGACGACGCTCAGTCGCAAATGTCATCATAATCCCTTTAATATCTTACTCAACCGCGAAGCTCGCACCTATTATGAGCATGATTTACTTCTCTTGCGTCTCATTATCCGTATCTCTGTTTCTTTCCATTTTTTCTGCCGTATTTTTGCTTGGTAATCGCACCTCACGACTTCGAACAAATAAGACGGTAAACTTTACATTGACTTACGTCATATAGACTCGTGTCTCATACTACATGACATATTAGAGGCTAATCAAGTCCACATCGTTCCCGTTTGCGGCCCAGCCTCCTTCGGGCAGGGAGTTCCTCGCGCGGACTAGCTAATCGCATGGATGCGTTCCGGTTGGCGTGATCGGTCCGCGTGGGTGATTCCCTCCCCGCCGTTTCGGCGGGGCCGCAGTCGGCGAACGACGCATGCGCATCGGCAATTCTTCTAAACTACAATGTGTGCCGTTTACGTTACAATAACGCCAATACCGCAGTCTATCTCGCATGAAGCTCACACCAGTTGTTTAGAAATGATTCGTTTTAACGATACTGTCATACCCAATCAAAATTCGGGAGGATGGTGATTCGCTGCGCAGGTAGTCACGGAGGCAAGGAGAGAAAACAGAAGAAAGCAGAATGGCGCGCACAAGTCTCTAAAGGAGATCCTCGACGAACACGACAGGCCAGCCTCGTTTGCGTGAACGTCCGAAGTTTGACCGCCAACCAGTTAAGCTTTTGCCCATACTCATTTGGCTTGCGCCTTTTGCGGCTACCGGCCAACTACTCCTACCGAGTGTCCACGAAGTTCCCACCTGTGAGGCAGCGCATGCAGGGTATACATGGCCAACCGGCTGCGGCTGCGTCAAGTGTGGGGCGGCGGCACCCGAGGAGAACGTGCACAGCAGTAGGGCAGGTGCCGCGCAATGCCGGTTGGAGACGCACCAACGCCTTTTGGCTCCTCAACCGGCCATGTGGAGGGACTGGTTGGGAACAATTATGGACCTACCTGGAGGAGGCGCGCGAGTACGTGCGCTCCTCCAGGTGGGCCCAAACATACAACTTTGATTGATACTATTTTTTGTTATTAGAAAAAAATAATTAAGTGTCAAGGGGGGCCAGTCCCCCCTCGCACTTGCCAAAAGCCAAAAAAAGGAAAAAAAATCGAGAAAAGCAAAAAAAATGTGAAAAAAAAACAAAAAAAGGGAAAAATCCCAAAACTCGAAAAAAAAAGTCTTCTTTTTTAAAGCTTACACACATATAAATATATATGCATATTTCCTTTACTACATTCATATAGCCGCATTTAGCACATTCATTTACTCACATGATTTGATCGAAGTTCACTAATTATTGCCTAATAGCCCTCGTTTTTCCGTTTGTTGTTTCTTTCACTAGTTCGTATTTCTATTAACGCTAATCGTCACAACGACAAGGCTACGTGCCTCGCAAATGCCACGTATTCACAAAAGGCAATTTTCCCACGTGTAAGGCCTAACGACCTCG